TGTGTGTGTGTGTGTTATTTTTACTCTTTTATGTCACCTTTCTTTCTCTTTAACTATCGTTCAGTCTTTCGCTCTCCCTATCTATCTATCTATCTATCTATCTATCTATCTATCTATCTATCTATAGATCTATCTATCTATCTATCTATCTATCTATCTATCTATCTATCTATCTATAGATCTATCTATCTATCTATCTATCTATCTATCTATCTATCTATCTATCTACCTTCGTCTCTCTCTGAATTATGCAAGTAAGCGCACACGTGTGAATACCTCTACTCTTCAGCACGTATAATTATAACCAGGCTCGAACCTCAGCTCGGTTCCACGTTGTGTCGTTGAGAAAGGCACTTTACACGAATTTCCCACTTGGCTCGGTCCTTTCGGAGACGGACGTTAAACTAGGAGGTCCCGCCTCTTAATAAATAACTCAACAGTGTTGATAGGGACGTTAAATCCATACCTCGGTCCTATCGGAGACGGATGTTAAACTAGGAGGTCCCTCCCCTTAAATAACCTAATAGTGTTAATAGGGGCGATAAACCCATACCATTTCACCATTACATTTCAAACCCATACCATTTCACCATTTCCAACCCATACCATTTCACCATTTCATTTAATTATAATCTAATTGTGTTATAAGACAGTGAAAGATCTTGTCAGTTTGTTAGTGTTTGAGCGCTTAATCGGCTGCTCGCACTGTATGCTTCCCGGGAAGGTGAGAATGTTTCGGAGTGTTCTATGGTCTGCTGGGGTAATAATATAGTGTAAAGCGCATAGAGCCTGCTGCTGAGCGGGGATATGCGCTGTACAAATGCTATCTATTCTTCTTATTATTATTATTAAGTGCCGTAAAAACAAAACTTCTTAAAACTTGAAGACTAAACTGTCGTCCGCTGTGCAGCTGTACGAGAAGATCCGACGGTCGGAGCAGAAGTACAAGGTGGCGTTGGACGTCCTCTCCTACCACAGCCAGGCCACGCCCGACGAAGTGGACAACCTCAGGAGGAAATCTATACCCAAAACTATACCCAAGATCACACGGTGAGCATTACCACGATCGTCTGCACCGCCTGCTAAATGGTCGCTTTTAAGGGCAAGTGGGCTGACCCAGGTTTCGGGGGTTTCCAGAAATGTTGACCGACATCAGAAGTGGGCATTGTCCTACCTATAGGAGAAGTTTGGTTTCATTGGTGTGTATATTTGTTTGGTTATTGAGAAAACTCTCCTTGTCTTTTAAAGAAACTGAACAAGGGACAAAAACTTTACCTTCGTTTTTCTCGAAAAAGCATTTTTGGGGGTAGCCCCCTTGTGCTTAAAAGCTACCAAATGATCTAAATTACGTAGATGAGGGCGTAAAAAACACCTATATTTTAAAAAAATAATTTTTTAATGATACGACCGTCTATCATCACCGAGTACGGACAGATATATAGAATATAATATAGCGTGTTTATTTTGGGTGGTTTTTTTTTTGTTTCTTTGTTGTTGTTGGTGTTGTTGTTTTTGTTGTATGTGTGTATGTGTGTGTGTTTGTTCTTCTTCTTCTTCTTCTTCT